CTCGCTGTCATAGATCGATTTTGATAACGGAACGAGCAATTAATTTTACTTTTTTTTAACAACTATTCACCGAAGTATCGGAGTCTAGTGGTCGATATTTACCGTGTTACGAAGCGGCGTGATAAATATCCACCACTAGCCACCGACACCTAGGCGAATATGCTGAAACAGTGAGATAATATAGCACAAACATGAATTATTTTAACTCATTTATTCCGGCAACGATCATAATTTTTCCGGATGTAAATCTAGCGCGATTTACTCGGAGGCGAATAGCAAAGGATATTAAGAGTCTGAATAGCCAATAAGAGCGCTTCAAACGCTATCCGCTGTTTTAGTATTTCATAAATAATGATACACAGCTACATGGAATCTTATTTGCGTAATGAACCGATCAATGTAGTGACAAAGTGACAGAAGAACCCCCTTCCCTTGTGATGTGATTATCTACAGATAAGGGTCATAGACCCATTCATCCATTCATTTGCATAGCTCGAACATGAAAACTTCGTGCAGCATCGCTTTGTACACGTATTCACACGAGCAATTTTTACACTTCTTCCAAAATCCCCCAAATAGGATTACGAAAGATGTAATTTGTGCCTTGTTATGTAATAAGATTTCGTTCTCGTTTAAATTTATTTAGTTATTTTTTTTTCTAAAATCTTGTTATGTTCACACCAGGTTTTACTTAGAGCCGTACTTGCATACTTCCTTAAGTAACTGTTATCTACTTGTGTATCTCATGTTATTCATAGGATACCCTAAGACCCAGAGGGTGGCACCATTGCCTTAGTTAGGGGTACACGTTCCTCATTTTTTTTCCACCTGCTGGTTTTTAGGGTTTTCGTGTTCGGCTTGGTTTATTTAGTTTTTTTCCATCGTAATTATAATAAACTCTTGTAAATATATTGGTGTTAAATTAACTGTACGGTGACTTGGCTGGAAAACGCGCCCAGATATCAACACCTCGAATGTCCGGTTGACTAAGGGAAGCAAAATGTTAAATATTTCACAGCTGAGTGCTACGTGTTATAAAATTAGTCATATGGGACAAAACTAGATATGCAGCTAATTATAGATGGTTTGTTCTTTTGTTCAATTCGGTAAATTAGACGTTATGCATGCTTGCATCCTACTGATGTACTTGTCGACCGATTTCGCCATGATCACGTTAAGTTATCTTTAAGAGATAGTCAACTTTCATTGATCCAGCACGCTTACAACGGCGAGATGACTGAACTGATTTGTCAAACAGTGATAAACGAAGAAGATGGACGTGCAGGTGACCCCCTCAGGATGACGACAAAGCTGAAAGGAGGTAAAGCTGTTCGCGCTTGTACAGAATGGTGGTTTTATCGAAAATGCGTCCCTGTCTGTCTCAACTAATGTTGCAGATGCTTTTCTTCTAATTATTATTTTCGTGGGGATGTGAGTTTGTAGGTTTGTTTGTCTATTTTGCATGATTTCTTGATTTTTTTTTGGTGACTAAAGCTCTAAAACTCCGTAATTCCGGCACTCAGGCCATTCATCACCATATCATCGAGACAGCCCGGTTGCCGAATTCAAGCCACGGTATGAGTGGTATTTGATTCATTGCGGCAAAATTACTAGCTGCTTACTTATATCCCCCCAGGCTGTAATTAGTGACACCCGTTTTAAAATACCGTCTTGTGAATGAAAGAAAGCCAGTAAAGCTGATTTACCCGGCAGGATAGTATCATGGAAACGAAGAAATGCACAGAAGGGGGTTAGGAAAGGTTGAGAAGCTGAGCGAGTGTTATGCCTTTAAAGAAGCAAAGCAAATTTTTTTCATTCATTCTAGTGATATCTAACCAACACCGTTCTAGTAATGTATTGACACGTAAGCACGTTAAGCCAACAATGATCCTCTTTGTTCCGAAGAATATCAAACGTTTTAAACTCAAACTTCTCAAACTTCCGATACAGCGATTTATTTGCCTTTATCAGCATGTAGTTGACAGTCAATCATTACCCGCCAACGTACTGTAAAAGCCGTCTACTATTTGTTAGCAATGCAAGGTAAACGCATGCATGTCTGCTAAGGCAAACATGCGTGCACACTTGGAAGTTTTTAAGTACTTTAAGTTATAATTAAGTTAATCTGATGTAATCATACATCTTAAAAAAACAGACCCTTACAAATTTAAACCGGACCAATAAGTTTCTGATTTTTCTTTCAAATACCAAAATCCGAGTGAATGATAGACCTGACAGACTGGTGCTTGGCTTTTTTTCAACGCCGTGCATGACTGAATCCCCATCACAGTTTCCTCTTACTTCGTAAAAAAATTTACCCTAATGAAAAAATTATAATAAAAAACTGAAAACCTATCATTTCATTTTCGGTTGGTGGTGTTGTAGTTCTTAGACTGAGGTAATTTAGAATAAAAGGAGTTTCAGTTAAATGAGGTCATATTTCCATCCATCTATTCCAGTCACCAGAATCTCCTAGGCCCAATTCGACAATAATAGGACTTAATTTAGAGCTTTGGTTTTATATGAAATTTTCATGAATTTATACAGGCGATGTTATGTATTCTAGCTTTGGTTAATTCTTACAAGCAAATTTCATGTCTCCCTGACGTACAGGTGAAGTAAAAATCGAACGCCTCCTTGAACAATTTCCAGAGGATACGGTGGAAGAGATTAAAGATGTCATTACAGCTGGAAACTTATGCTCCTGTCAAAATCCCTGGAAAACATCCTTTCAGGTAAGTCAATCCAATAAGGGAATAGTAAGTACGAGGCCAATAACGAAAAAACAAAAACACGTAGGGTCAAAGAGGCTATTCATATAAGACTTCATCCCAACAACATCGATAGAGATAGCGGAATTGACAATTCCGAAGCTTGGATACCCACGATCAAACAACACAACAGCCGATTTATGAGGACCTATGAGGGAACACCATCTAACAACCGGAATAATACTAAGAAATTGAAACTAATCGAAATGCACCAATAACAGCATATCAACGTGCTACAAATAGTGACAAGTAAACAATAGACCTCATCGCCTGATGAAGACTAGCAGTATTTCAGTCGAAACGTCGCGATCTACATCAAAAGTGACTCTATCGTGAGACAAACGAA